ATGGAAAACTCTCTCTCTCTCTCTCTCTCTCTCTCTCTCTCTCTCTCTCTCTCTCTCTCTCTCTCGCATCCTTCCCCTCCACCCCAATGTCGCGTCCCGGAACTTGGCGAGAAAGAACAAAATGAAACACAGAGGGCCAACCCCATATCCTTCCCCCCCGCCCCAATGTCACGTCCCGGTGCTTGCAGGCCCGAAAAACACACACGAAACTCTGAATACACACCCCCCCCACCCCGATACGCCGTCCCAATACACGCGGGGCCGAAATGATAACCCCCCCGGCCCAAACCGACAAAGGCCCCACACCTCCGATAGGCCCGACAACAACGCAACGACAAATCGGCCTGCTACCATCCGCGCGGGACCGCCGGGACTGCCCCACCAGCGAAATGGATCTCACGTGCGACCGTTACGCGAGACCCGCTGTTTGCTTTAGAGTATTAGGGATAACATTAGAAGAGAAAAGGGCTTCGAACCCTTAACCTATGGATTTGGAGACCATTGTTCTACCATTGAAACTATTCTTCTGACATAACAAACTGTGATTGGTTTATGAAGTTTGCACCTATTTCATTAGTGGATATATAATGACACCAAAACAAACAAAACAAATACATATTATACCAGATGAGGCGGCTCGAAGAACGGTCGTTTTCGGGGAAGCTTACCCCGCAGCCCTTCGGCCGTGTGCATTTGGGGAAGTATGCGAATGCACGCTGACCTTCGACCCTCTGCCCATGGATCAAAGAGAGCTTCTCCCCACAGAGTTTCGTCTTTCATTGTGTCCTTTCTTTCTCAATGCCAAGGCATCCACCCAATGCATTATTTTGGATATAGCAGGGCACTTCGCTACTTCTCACTATTGTGTTATATCATATCATAGACTGATAGAGCCTAAGGCAGATTCCCGATAGGAAATTCATGGATCAAAGAGAGCATCTCACAAGTCTCTCTCTTCGTGCTTTTGATTTTAGAGAATTGCAAGGTACAACAATTGATACACAAATTTATCAACATTTGTATGATTCATGCCATACGTAATCGCACCTCAGACCAAGATGATGACGATTACAGATGCGTTGCGTAAAGTCTCTGAGGATTCTAAACAGCTCGGCAGTCGCAGGCTAGGGCGAGCGACCATACTTTTTTGTGGTTTCCTGCTGATCGAATATTGCTTTGGGACTAATTGGGTGGTTTCGTAGATTCTGACTTTTCTTATAATGGTTTGCCTATTGGTAGGAGAATTTTAGGTTGTGTGACACATGAACTACAAAAAAAAACACCTTTTTTTTTTAACTATATTACTCTCTCAATTTCACCTCACACTACCTACCTACCACTACTCCTAATTGTAGGCATACGGGGAACCCCGTAGCATGCGGGGGCTGCACCCGACCTGCACGTGGGCGCTACGCTTAGGGGACAGCCGGTACCATCAGGGACATAGTCTCAATGGCACCTTATGTAATTTAAATTGAATAAATAAGGCAGATTTCCAAACATGCAAAATAAACTCCGTTTTCATTATGAAAATGTGTTCAAACCCAAAATAAAAAAAGTACTGCAGCTTGTGCACAATCAATTGTTTTTCAAATCTTTGCTATCTACTTTACCAAAATGATTAACAAATATAAACTGTCAAAAAAGGAAATTTGTATATATACCAACCCAGACAATATTTTTCAAATGTTCGTTTTTTTTTTTAAATCATACGAACACAAGATTTAGAGTTTTAATCGATATTTGTGGAGTAACAAGTGCTCTCCGAACCGTGCGAGATGGTYGCCCATCACACGGCTCTCCAACCTGACTAACCTTTGTGGCGTGCCTGACACAATGGAATTTGCTTACGCTGTGCTTAAAGAAGAGTTTACCATCGTTCTCTTAAATATCGCACTAAGTTCAAAGAAGCACGCTGAAGAAATTTGGTCCACAGTTTCAATGTTCTGAGACGGGCATGGTCCTATATAAACCTACTAGTTTATCGAGAACATTATCGAACGATTATTAGTGGCGGAGAGCCATATGATGGGAAACTATCACGTGCGGTTCGAAGGGCAGGAAAACACAAACTCCCGACCCATCCCCTACTATCAAATATATACCTTAATGAAGTCGATCACTTTATAGAAACAACTATCTGTGAAACACGACAGACTAAAACACTCCGTCGGTTCGGCAAGTCGGGACCACGGCGAATATAACTTAATAGGTTAAAGTGTCAGATTGTGAATTTCAAAACATGGGTTCAACTCCCGTTATTTGCCTCTTGCATCATCCAAAAGGCCAGGAAAGCCCACGAAGCACTAGGGTCTTCAATGCTGCAGCCAGTCAGAAGTTCTGAATGCGGCAATGGTCGTAAGAACATCTTCTGTTTCATAGAATACGTCCAACACAGATTTTGCATTTAAAGAGTCAGCCCTGTGTGCACACATGTTTATTATCATCCATGCACATCCCCACGCAGTACAGCAATATTGTGCCCAACTGTTTCATTGGACTTTACTGCACTTGAGTTTGTGTGCGCGCGCGGGAGAGAGAGAGACAGGGAAGGAAGGAGTGAGAGAGAGAGAATGACTGTGCCCAACTGCTTCGTTCGACTTTCACTACACTTGAGGGCGTGTGTGCATGTGTGTGTGTGTGTGTGTGTGTGTGTGTGTGTGTGTGTGTGTGTGTGAGAGAGAGAGAGAGAGAGAGAGAGAGAGAGAGAGAGAGAAAACGTACCACCCATGAGCGTCCTTGACAATGAATCACGTCATCAAGTTCTGTAGCCCTCATGCAGTTTCTCTGTTTCTATGTTACAACCAGCGTTGTCATGCGGGGATCCCCGGGGCCCAAGCCGGGGTGGGGGTTTTACCCCCGGACCTCCACCCGGCCATCCACCCCTGCCCCTGCCCCCGCCCCAACCCCGCCAACCCCGCTCGACAACCCTACTTACAACCTGCGGAGGACAAGGAACAGGAGCAAGAGGGGTGTGAAGGACAAGTGCGCAGCTAGATTGCTTCATGAACGACAAGGATATCCAGGCCACATAAACAAAAGCACTCCTCATTCACGACAGAAACGTTGTTGGGTGAGATGCCAGAGGACCCCTAGAGCGATAACCTGAGATGACGGTTGAAGTCTGAAAGCCAGGGAAAAAAGAAATGGATTTTGGAGACATGCAGCTGTTCTATGTATGGCTTTACGTTTCCTCAACTTGGCAGGCGCATGCCCCTCACATTGGTAAATTGGCTCACAACCATCTCATTAGAACAAACGAACAACAGCAGAAATTAATGGCTTCTGCTTCTCTGAACTTTTTTCCACTAAAGCAGCCACAAGGAGTATATACCTGCTTCACGATTCCTTCAGAAACATTTCTTCCAGCCAAAGGAGTTGGCACAAGGGCAGCCGCATCCGCCTGTGACTGTCTTGTGCAAGAGGCTACTCAATCCATACCCCCTCCTCTCTCTCTCTCTCTCTCTCTCTCTCTCTCTCTCTCTCTCTCTCTCTCTCTCTCTCTCTCTCTCTCTCTCTCTC